ACCAGCAGGTTGACGGCCTCGATGACGTCGATGAACACCTCGTTCTTCTTGTAGCGGATCCCCTCGGAGCGCCAGGACACGGCGTTGGTCACCGTGCTGGGCACGCGCCACCGGCCCCGCTCCAGCTTCTTCCCCTCCTGCGTGATGTACCTGAGGGGGTCCTTCCCTCACCGGGGGGGCTCTGGGCGGGACCCCAGCCCCTCCAGAGACCCCTCCCCACGCTCACTCCTGCAGGATTTTGCTGTCGGTGGTCTGCGGGAAGCCGAAGTCCATCAGCTCATCCAGCAGCTCGTAGACGATGACGAAGTTGTCGCGGACGCTCTCCTCCTCCAGCTCCTTGAAATACTCACAGAACACCTGGGGAGGGGTACATCTGAGACCCCCTCCCCAAATTGGGGTGACCCTGAGACCCCCAACTCACCTCCAACTCCTTGAAATACTCACTGAACACCTGGGGAGGGGTACATCTGAGACCCCCTCCCCAAATTCGGGTGAGAGGGGGCACATCTGACACCCCCTCCCCAAATTCGGGTGACCCTGAGACCCCCAACTCACCTCCAGCTCCTTGAAATACTCACTGAACACCTGGGGAGGGGGCACATCTGAGACCCCCTCCCCAAATTGGGGTGAGAGGGGGCACATCTGAGACCCCCTCCCCAAATTGGGGTGAGAGGGGGCACATCTGACACCCCCTCCCCAAATTGGGGTGACCCAGACCCCCCCTGAGACCCCCAACTCACCTCCACCACCTTGAAACACTCACAGAACACCTGGGGAGGGGGCACATCTGAGACCCCCTCCCCAAATTGGGGTGACCCTGAGACCCTCCAGCTCACCTCCAGCTCCCTGAAACACTCACAGAACACCTGGGGAGGGGTACATCTGACACCCCCTCCCCAAATTGGGGTGAGAGGGGGCACATCTGACACCCCCTCCCCAAATTGGGGTGACCCTGAGACCCCCTGAGACCCCCAACTCACCTCCACCACCTTGAAACACTCACTGAACACCTGGGGAGGGGCACATCTGAGACCCCCTCCCCAAATTGGGGTGACCCTGAGACCCCCTGAGACCCCCAACTCACCTCCACCACCTTGTAGAGGAAGGAGAAGACCAAGGACGCGTTCCCGTTCTTCT